TATAATTCTTATTAAACTGTAAACACTTTGATAAGTATTAATAAATTATTCATAAATAATAATCTATTTATAATAACTCTTAAATAATAAAATTATTTAAGATTATAGATTATAATTATTATTATAATTATATTATAATTATTATTATAATCTATTATTATTATTTAAGATATAGATTATAATTATTAATCTATAAATTAATACTTTAATAATTATTACTAAATCATTAATAATTCATAGTGTATTAGAATTATTATTACATAATAGAATTACTAATTCGAATTCTTCTTAAATTAATAAATATTAAATTAATAAATTAATTAATACTTTTATCATTCCGAATAAATGATGAATAAATAATTAATAGCCAGTTAATAATAATGAATAATTAAATGCAAAAAAAAATATCCCACACCTCCTGCAAAGTTGGGATGGGTCCGGGAAGGGGGGGGCCCCGTTGCCATGGCAACCGTGAGGCCGGTTCCGGGGTGTCCCGGTTGCCATGGCGACCGTGGGGCCAGTTCCGGGTTTCCCGGTTACCATGGTGACCGTGGGGCCGGTTCCGGGGTGCCCCGGTTCCCATGGTGACCGTGGGGTTGGTTCTGGGTGTCCCGGTTGCCATGGTGACCGTGGGGCCGTTTCCGGGTGTCCCCGTTGCCATGGTGACCGTGGGGGTGGTTCCGGGTGTCCCCGTTGCCATGGCGACGGGTCGGGGGTGTCCTGGTTGCCATGGTGACCATGGGGCCGGTTCCGGGGTGTCCCGGTTGCCGTGGTGACCGTGGGGCCGGTTCGGGGGGGGGAAGGGGGGGTGTGTGTCCCGGTTGCCATGGTGACCATGGGGCCAGTTCCGGGTGTCCTGGTTGCCATGGCGACCGTGGGGCCATTTCCAGGTGTCCCGGTTGCCATGGTGACCGTGGGGACAGTTCGGGGGGGGGGTCCCCGTTGTCATGGTGACCGTGTGGCCGGTTCCGGGTGTCCCGGTTGCCATGGCGACCGTGGGGCCGGTTCCGGGTGTCCCGGTTGCCATGGTGACAGTTCCTGGTGTCCCGGTTGCCATGGCGACAGTTCCGGGTGTCCCGGTTGCCATGGTGACCGTGGGGACAGTTCCGGGGGGAGAGGGTGTCCCCATTGCCATGGTGACCATGGGGCCGTTTCCGGGTGTCCCGGTTGCCATGGTGACCNGATTGGGAAAGACCTTCCTGGTGGGATTGGGAAAGACCTTCCTGGTGGGATTGGGAAAGAACTTCCTGGTGGGACTGGGAAAGAACTTCCTGGTGGGACTGGGGGGAGCTGGAGGAGCTGCTGCTCTTCACCCCGAGATTCCCAGTTTTTTTCCACACTGGGATCGTTCCCTAAGCGGTCCCAAAATTCCCAGCAGAGAAGGGATTGGGAAAGACCTTCCTGGTGGGATTGGGAAAGACCTTCCTGGTGGGACTGGGGGGAGCTGGAGGAGCTCCTGCTCTTCATCCTGGGATTCCCAGGTTTTTTCCACGCTGGGATCGTTCCCTAAGTGATCCCAAAACTCCCAGGAGAGGATTGGGAAAGACCTTCCTGGTGGGATTGGGAAAGAACTTCCTGGTGGGATTGGGAAGGAACTTCCTGGTGGGATTTGGGGGGAGCTGGAGGATCATATTATATTTTTATTTTCTTTTTTAATTTTGCTTTTCGTTTTACCTTCGGTCTTTATTTATCTTCAGAGCCCCATTTGTATTTTATTTGTATTTCTTTTTAATCTTTCTTCTTTTTTTTAAAATTTTTCTTCTTTTTTAAAATTTTTCTTCTTTTTAAAATTTTTCTTCTGGTTTTTATTTTTGTTTTTCTTCCTTTTTTGTTGTTGTTTTTCTTCTTGTCTTTGTTTTTCTTCTTTTTGTTTTTATTTTCCTTGTTTTTATTTTTCTTCTTGTTTTTGTTTTCCTTCTTCTTTTTATTTTTCTTCTTCCTTTTATTTTTCTTCTTCCTTTTATTTTTCTTCTTCTTTTTATTTTTATTTTTCTTCTCTTTATTTTTCTTCTTCTTTTTATTTTTCTTCTTCTTTTTATTTTTCTTCTTCTTTTTATTTTTCTTCTTCC